ACGGCGGGACCCAAGTCCTCCGGCCGCGCGGCGCCGGGTTCGGCGGCGCCCTGGGCGCGCTTCTCCGCCTGGCTGGAGTGCGTGTGCGTGGTCACCTTCGACCTGGAGCTGGGCCAGGCGCTGGAGGTGAGCGGGCGCGGGCGGGCCGCCGCTCCTCTCTCCGCCCCTCCCGTCCCCGCCCTCCCGGTGCCCCTCCCATCCCCGCCCGCCCCGGCTCTCTCGCCGTCGCCTTCGGGTCTGGCCTCGGGCCCTGGAGGCGCCCCTTTGCACACGCTGTTCCCGGGCCGACCTCTGACCCCTTCCACAACTCGGTGAGGAGCCTGGTGCCCTCCTGCCCTTCCTCCTCGTACCTCTCACCTCCTGGAAGGGAACCCCTTGTATGGGGCTGCGGGAGCGCCCCCCAGTCCGGTGGGAGATAGGACCCGATTCTGCACACGCAGAGCGATCCCCAGTCACGTTACCCTTGCCTCTGTCCCCACCCAGCCAAAGTCATGACCCCAGTTAGATGCTCCACCTTTGATGCCTCCCTCATAGCTCCACATCCCATGCTTAGGGCAAGGCTGACAGCTGATCATGCAACAAGGATCTCATCCATTTCTGCTGAAGTCACCGGTGTCACCTTCTCACCACCCCCTCTCCCCAGTTCAACCCTGTGCCTATGGTATTTATTTTTGTTTGTTTATTTTTTGTCTTTTTGAGACAGGGTCTCGCTATGCAGTTCAGGCCAGCCTTGAACTCACTTTGTAGCCCATGCTAGTCTTGAACTTGCAACGATCCTCCTGCCTCAGCCTCCCGAGTGCTGGGATTACAGGCGTGCGCCACCACGCCCGGCTGCCTATGGTATTTAAAATCCAATGGCGCCTCTTCACTCAGAGTCACATCCAGACCCTGCGAGTCCCTGCTTGGCCCTCATCTGCCATTCTTAACCTTGGGCTTCTGGTCACCAGCGACTGGGCCTTTGATGTGGTCTTCCTACTGCCCCGTGCACCCACCACAGGGGCAGTCTCCCTTTCTCCAAGTATAGATGGAAATGCTGCAGGCTCAAGCAGGCTTTCTTGCTTTCTTTTTTTTTTTTTTTTTTTTTTGAGACAGGGTCTCCATATGCAGTTCAGGCTGGCCTTTAGCTCACTTTGTAGCCTATGCTGGTCTCAAACTTGTGAAGATCTTCCTGCCTCAGGCCTGGCGTGGTGGCGCACGCCTGTAATCCCAGCACTTGGGAGGCTGAAGCAGAAGGATCATTGTGAGTTCGAGGCTCGCCTGGGCTACATAAGTGAGCTCAAGGCCAGCCTGAACTGCATAGTGAGACCCTGTCTCAAAAAGACCCCCCCCAAAAAAGATCTCCCTGCCTCAGCCTCCTGAGTGCTGGGATTACAGGCATGGGCCACCATGCCAGGCCAGGAGCCAAGTACTGTACACATTTGTAATTCCAGCACTAGGGAGGCTGAGGTAGGAGATCCCAAGTTGGAGGCCAGCCTGGGCTACGTAGCAAGACCTATATGAACACACACACACACACACACACACACACACAAGAGGCCTTTCCTTAAGGGATCTCATGTCTAATTTTCTAAAACTTAACTATCCAGAGATGATTCTAAGCATGCACCGATAGAGGCTGAGTGTGCGCGTCTAGGCTCCTGCAGCTTCAGTCTGGGGTGGGGGGAGACCCCAGGCTCCTGGTGATGAGTCTGTGCCAAACACTGAGTGGCAGTCTGTGGGGGTGGCTCTCAGTCATGTGACCCTGATCAGGGTTGCATATCACCTCTCCTCCCCTAGAACTAAGCAAGAGTGGGTTTCTGCAGACATTCACTCAGCCCAGGCTGGCTGAGGGTTGGGAAGCCCTGGCACTGGCCTCGTACAGGATACCAAAGGAAGATACAGGCTGATGAAAGGAGGCTGAGACAGGCTCAGCTAAGCCTTGAAGGATGAAAGGAGGCAACTAGACCAGGGGTGGGGGGGTTCTGTTTCAGTAACTTCTCAAAAAGCCAAAAGTAAGCCAAAGCAAGAGGCTGTTCATGGATTTGTTCATTCAATAAATCAAGTACTGAGCAGCTGTCACCAGCCGGGCTCTGGCCCTCCAGGAGTCTGTTAGAAACAGTAAACGGTTCTAGACCTGAAGTGTTCATAGCCCTCCAGCATCCACACGTGGGGTTCCATGCAGAGGCGTCCACCGGAGCCTTCATGCAAGGCTAGATAGGGCATGGACAGGGTCTGGGAGCACCTGGGACATCACATGAGCTGCAGAGAAGACCTGACTCTGCTGCGGCAGCCCTTGAAAACTCAGCTCAATGTCCTGGCTCAGATACTGGGAAGTCCTGTGGCCAGAATGGCTAAGGAGACCCCTCCAGATGGGCTCTTCCTGGGCGGCAGCTCCCACGCTGTGAAGTCTTGGTCTTCAAATTATTGAGGACTCCAGAGAGCCTTTTGTTTGTGTGGGTTATATCTGTCCATATTTATTATGCTAAAATTAAAACAGAACACTTAATTGGCTCATTTAAGAAAAAATACACCTTATATGTTAGTGTAGTATGTATGAGAAACAACCACATTTTCCAAAACGAAAACTAGTAAAAACGAGGAATAGTGTGATTGGGGGGGTACAGGGTCTCTGTATAGTCTATTTTGTCCTTGAACTGTCAGTGATCCTCCTGCCTCAGCCTCCAGAGTATTGGGAATATAGGCATGTGCCACTCCACTTTGTTTTTCTTTTTTTTTTCCAGTACCGGGAATTGAACTTACAACCTTGTGCTTGCCAGGCAGGCACTGTGCCGCTGAGCTAAATTCCCAGCCCTTTTCTTTGTCTTTTTGAGACGGGGTCTCGCTATGCAATTCAGGCTGGCCTTGAGCTCACTTTGTAGCCCAGGCTGGTCTTGAACTTGCAACGATCCTCCTGCCTCAGCCTCCCAAGTGCTGGGATTACAGGTGTGCACCACCACGCCTGGCATGTGCCACCCCACTCTGACAAGCCTGCCTAAGGCCTGACCAGATAGAAGCCCGCTAGATTCTCACATCAGTAGTCTGCCTGGGTTACATGCATCGGGGAGCTGTGTGTGCAGTGAGATGAGCACAAAGCCAGCACAGACTCAGGAGAACAGCCTGACCTTGTAGACCCAGAGGGCTGCTAGTCCACACTCTGAGAATTACTGTCCAGAGGTCTAAGCAAAGCCTGTCACCTCTGGCTTACTCAGGACAACTGAGTGGCCAGGAGTGGTGAAAAGGACAAGCTTCTGTGGGAACCCTGGGCAGGGCAGGGCCTGGCCGATGGATGGGCAGGGGCCTCCTTGCTCAAAGGTTTGCTCCATTTATCCCCTCACTTGGGCATGGCCCACCTGACCTAGGCCAGCACTCCTCAACTCTAGGCTTACCTGGAACACTAGGGCCATTGGCGATGAGGATGCTGCAGCCGTGAACACAGATTTCCCTGAGCAGGTGTTCTCATGAGGCCCCAGGACTCAGATGGAAAGTTTAGGCGAGCGGTCTCCCTAAGGCTGCAAGGCTCCTTTGACTTCCAGAAAACGGCCCCTTGTGGCCCTGCCCCAGCCACCAGCACCCACCTTTCCTCCACCCTCCTCACAGTGCAGACACTGGTTCAGCCCTTGTGTCTTGTGTCTCCTGCCTGTCACTGGGCTATCGTCAGGCATCCCTGTTGGTCTGGCCCCACCACCAAGTGCCCCTTAGCTTCCTACCTATTCCTGGCTCCCTCCTTCCTTGTGACACATTGGTGCCAGTGTAGCTGGCACCTCCTTGACTGTGCTTCATTCCAAAGTTGAGGTCTCAGTACCACCTGCCACAGAGAGGCTGATGGACTGGATGGATGGGTGGATGGGTGTGATTTACTAGGGGATGGGTGCTGTTTGCTAGGGGACTGGCTTATGGGACTGGAAGCTGAGGGGTCCCATAGTAGGCCATGTGCAAGCTAGAGACCCTGGAACGCTGGCTGCATGGCTCAGGCCAAGTCTGGAGGCCTTGGAACCAGGGAAGCCAAAGGCCTGGGACTGAGAAGCTGGGGTGGAGGGGCCAGTGCTGCTGCATGTCCTGGGGTCCAGAGACCAGAGCCTGGCATTCTGATGTCTAAGGAGGAAGTGTCCCAGCTCCAGGGGTGGAAGGAGGAAATTGTCTTTCCTCTTATTTCTGTTCTGTCTGGGCTCTGTGGAGGGCACGTCTTCTCCACTCAGCCCACCAACCCAGATACCAATCTCTGGAAACACCCAGCAGTGGAGCTTTCCTGGTTTCCTAGATATTCCATAATCCAGTCAAATTTACTCCTAAAATTAACCATCACACCTACCTATTCTGGTCCATCTCGCAGAAGAATTTTCACACCTTCCACAGATGCTGTATTTGGGAAGGGTCTGTTCCCTGCCAGGTGTTGCAGGCAGAAGTAAGCAGGACAGAATCCCTGCCTTTAAGAGTCTAAAATAGGACAGAGCAGCAAGCCCAGGCCAAACAGGTACGAGCAGCAGTGCTGCTCCCTATGTGGGCAGTGTCCGCCCTGGGGACAGCAGCTCTCCTGTTTTGAGGGCTCAGCCTGCTCCTCAGCATAGGTGCTGGGCAGACAGGAGAAGACCCTGTTGAGAGTCAGCCCAGGAGACACCTCGGGCCCACTGTGGAGGGGCCTGTTTAGTACCCTGCAGGGCTTTCCTGGCTGTGCCTGCCCTGGCCACGTCCTCCTGCAGAGCTTGCTGATTTCTAGTTATCCTCGAGACTGTTGGCCAGAGCCTGCTCTTCAGTGTCTGGATGTTGCCTGAGTGCCATAGGGAGGCTTGTCCAGCTGCCCAAGTAGGTGGGGCACAGGCCTCAGAAAGAGGATCAAGGGGGAGCTAGTGGAAGCTGCCGTCATGGGGCAGGGTCACTGCCAGCTGACATCTGAGCAGACACGTGAGGAGATGGCTAAGCCTGAGACCCTTTGGCCAGGGGCAGAAGTGAGGGAGTGAGGGTGAGCCAGGTGGGTGTCCCCAGGCCCCTTGTGGCCTAGAGAGGCGGCTTGTGGGGGGCCTTGTGCAGGAAGAAGAGTGGATGAGAAGAGGGGCCCTGGGTCTGGAGGTCGGAGAGGAAAAGGGCACCTGTGAGGAGCCAGGAGGGCCTGAGCCAGGAGAGATGGTGCATGGGGAGAGAGAGGGGCGCTGGGGAGAGAGGCCGGGCGGAGGCTGTGCCTGTGGCAGGTGCCATAGCCCAGGGGTGTCACCAAGTGCTCTGTCCTCCCCTGCAGCTGGTGTACCCGAGTGACTTCCGGCTGACAGACAAGGAGGTAGGTCCTGCTGTTCTCGGGAGCGGGCGTCCCCGGAGTGAGTGGCCCTTACCGGGTTCTGTGTTTCAGAAAAGCAGCATCTGCTACCTGGCGTTTCCTGACTCCCACTCAGGTAGGCGGCCCCACCCTTCCCGGGGCCCAGGCCAGAGGCATCAAGGGTGCCTCAGGGCTGAGTCCCATCTACCCTTCCCCTTCTCTGGAGGCACTGAGCCCCATGCTGCACCGGAGTCACATGGACAGATGGCCCAAGCAAAGGTCCCCGCAGAGTCTGGTCTCTTGTGCTCTCCCCATTGGCTACCTGGAGCTGGGTCCACTGCTGTACTTCTACTCCTGGTGGCCACTATCCAGTGCTGGTCTCCTGTCCCAGGCAGGCTGGCCCTGTGTCCCCTGGGGACATGGAAGGTGCTTCTCTTGTGTGCTGAGTTTATTTACAAGACCTTAGTTGGGGGATGTGCAAAGTCCGGGTAGAAAGCCTTTGGGAAATGCAGTCCCTCAGGCGGGGGTCTTCTCTGGGACATTTGTGCCAGGAGGGGTCAGTCCTGCAGGGCCCTTGCCCCCTGTGTCCAGCCCACCCCACAGTGGCAGTGGAGACTCCTAGCCCTGACCTGCAGGGTGCTGCTGCTCCTCCTCAGGCTGCCTCGGGGACACTCAGTTCAGTTTCCGCATGCGTCAGTGTGGAGGGCACAGGAGCCCCTGGCATGCGGATGACCAGCCCTACAACAGCAAGGCCCCCATGGCGCTGCAGGTGAGTGGTACGCGCTTCCTTCTCCTCCCAGGGTTCCTGGGCAGTGTGAGCCACCCCTCTAGAGCTGCCGAGCCCTGTGTGGCAGGACAGGTCCCAGCCAGGCTCGTTTGTGGGGTCACCAACTACTGCAAGCCTTGCCAGTCCTGCAGCCTGAGCACCAGGCTGCATTTCCCTCTGCGGACTCACCGAGGTCCCCGAAGTCCTCCTTCACATCAGGTTTTGTGAGCCAAGGCTCCCTGTGTCAGTGTCCCTTGCTGTGCTAGAGGTACTGTTCCTGGAGCGGTATTGCCCACCTTCTGACCCCAGGAGCCCAGGTCTAACCATTTCTTGTCACTATGGGCTGGACCTTGCCAGATGGCTTGAGTGGGCATGGCTAACACACATTCCTTCCAGAAGGAGCCAGCACACTACCTTGGCTACGTGTACTTCCGGCAAGTGAAGGACAGCTCCGTGAAGAGGGGCTACTTCCAGAAGGTGAGCCCTGCCACCTTGGCAGGCACAGGGGAGCCCTGGGGTGGCCAGGAGTCTGGGCTGCAGGAGTGCCCACCCTTCTACAGTGTAACCAAGGCAGCAAGGCCAGGGAGGAGTGCCATGTGCCTGGCTCCCCTCGCATCCCCTAGCCTCTGGTACTACCCACAACCCCCTCACTGCTTGCTGGCCCTGTCACAGCTTCAGATTAGGACAGCTCCAGTCCTGAAGCCAAGCACAGCCCCTAGGGTGATGGGCCCAGAACCTCACTGCCTCGCATTCCCTCTGAGGGTAGGGACCCTTCCACATGTTGTCATCTCCTGGTGGTCTTGGGGCCTGAGTGTGCCCTTCTGGGCAGCTGTCCTATGGGCTTGGCAGGATGTGCCCTGGACCAGCCCTGGCTACCCCGGTGTCAGGATCCCCACAGGCCCCTGCATAGCTGGGGTGACGCCTGGAGCTGGCTGCCCTCTGACAGCCCATGCATCACCACAGTCACTGGTGCTGCTGTCCCGCCTCCCCTTTATCCGGCTGTTCCAGTCGCTGCTGAGCCTCATGGCCCCAGAGTATTTTGACAAGCTGGCACCCTGTCTGGAAGCTGGTGAGTGCATGTCAGCTGTGGTGGATATGGGCCCCGCAGGCCTCAGCGGACAGCTTCTCCTTGGGAGGGCTCCTGACTTGGGCCTCCTGTGTCCACAGTTTGTAATGAGATTGACCAGTGGCCAGCCCCCACGCCTGGGCAGACGCTGAACCTACCTGTCATGGGTGTTGTCATCCAGGTGAGGGTCACCACCAAGTGAGCACGCAGGGGTGTGGAGACACCCTGCTTTCTCTGGCAGCCGCTCCCTCCCTCCACAGGTGTGCATCCCATCCAGGGTGGACAAGCCAGAATCCAGTCCTCCAAGGCAGTGTGACCAAGAGGTAGGGATGGAGAAGAGGACTGCGTTCTACCCCGCTTTCCTGTGGGGTGACAGCTCCGGCATACCCTCGTGTCAGCTTCTACCTGTGTCCCTGACTGCCTGCCCTCCACCTTCAGAACCTGCTGCCAGCCCCTGTGGTCCTTGCCAGTGTCCATGAACTGGACCTCTTCAGGTGAGGCCTGGGGTGCAGCTTGCTGCAGGGAGTGGGCTGCCCCAGGAGGGCCTGGTGGTCACGAGTGACACTCTGGATGTCCTGCCAAGGGAATGTGCAGAAGAGGAAACCTGGGCCCAAGTGTGGGCACTGTAGGCAGGGAGGTTCCAGAAGCAGTGCCTGTAGAGGCTGTCAGGGACATCTGCCACCTCAGGTTACCCTCTGCCTCTCTGAATCAAGGGGGCCTGGGCTTTGAGACCAGCCTGCCCCTGCTGGGCCCAGAGGAGTAGTAGGGCTGCAGGCTTGAGGGACAGCAGGGGCTGGGACTGTTCAGGAGTACCGCAGGACTGCTGGCCCCTTATAGGCCAGATTCAGGCTGTGTCAAGCCCTTGTCCTGTACTCCCAAAGCAAATGGATCCTGGAGTGGTCTGGTGACCTCAGGCATTATCTGAGGTCCTCATCCACCTTTCCCACCCTGTGTTGGCCTGAGCAGGGCCCTGTGTTCACCCAAGGCTGGGGCCTGCCAGACTTGTGTCTAACCCCTGGGGATCCCAGGCCCCGCCTGATCCCGGCTGCCCAATGACAGGTGTTTCCGGCCTGTGCTGACCCATGTGCAGACACTGTGGGAACTTGTGCTCCTTGGGGAGCCCCTGGTGGTCCTGGCACCCTCACCCGATGTGTCCTCAGAGATGGTGCTGGCCCTGACCAGGTACGTGCCTCCATCGCTGGCTACCCTGGCACAGCCAGCACCCTGTCTCACCTATTCCCTGATGCCCCACCCACAGCTGCCTGCAGCCTCTTAAGTTCTGCTGTGATTTCCGCCCGTACTTCACCATCCATGATAGTGAATTTAAGGAGCTTACCACGCGCACCCAGGCCCCGTAAGTGCATCCATCCTGCCCGTTCCCCAGCCTAGGCCCCTCCTCCAGCTTTTCTCTGCCTCTTCTCTCTCTTTCTCGCTCTCTTTCTCTCTTTCTCTCTAGACCCAACGTGGTCCTGGGAGTCACAAACCCTTTCTTTATCAAAACACTCCAGCACTGGCCCCATATCCTCCGAATTGGGGAGCCCAAGATGTCAGGTGAGGAATGCTGAGGAGGACTGGGTGGTGGGCCCAGAAGCCTCGCCTAGCCAGCCTAGGACTTGGTGGGGCATCTGAGCCCAAGACCTCCAAGCTTGCAGGTATGGCCTCAGCAGTGGGCCCTGATCCTGACTATGTCTTTCAGGGGACCTTCCTAAGCAGATCAAATTGAAGAAGCCCTCGAGGTTGAAGACCCTTGATACCAAGCCAGGTCTGAGCCCCTTCTGCTGTAGAGGGGCCCGTTTTACACTTAGCAGGTCCAGTGGGGCAGCCAGGCCTCCTTAGACCCCCTCTGTCCTCTGAGAGGTGTCCGGGGGTGGGTGGGGACATCTGCCCTCGAGAACCCTGGGGTGGGGCGGGCTGAGATGTGCAGGTGCTGCCTAACAAGACCAGATGCCCTGCCAGATACCCTTGGGGCTGCGGCAGGGTGGGAGGGAGGGAGGCCCTGGAGGACAGGAGGATGGCTGCTGCCCTGCCCTCCTGCCAGGCCTCTACACCTCCTACACAGCCCACCTCCACCGGGACAAGGCGCTACTCAAAAGGCTACTCAAGGTACAGGCTGGGGGTGGAGGTGGGGTGAGGGCACCGGGTCTGGCTCCTCTGGGCTCAGCTGCTGGCCTCCCTCTGGCAGGGTGTGCAGAAGCAGCGGCCGTGGGATGTGCAGAGTGCTCTGCTGAGACGGCACCTCTTGGAGCTCACACAGAGCTTCATCATCCCCCTGGTGAGGCGGGGCAGAAGGGCAGGAGGGAACACTGGCAGGGACTGAGGCCTCAGGCTCACTCCCTCCCCCTGTACCCCCAGGAGCACTACATGGCCAGCCTCATGCCACTGCAGAAGAGCATCACGCCCTGGAAGGTGGGGGTCCAGGCGTCCCCATCCCTCCCAGGGCAGAGAACGGGGGCCCCCTGGAACGGGTGGACCTGAGTGGGGGGGGGTCTCAGATGCATCCATGAAGGAGTCTTGGGTGTGGGGCTGTGGGCTGCGTCCCCCAGCACCTGCTCACTGGCCCCTGTCTCAGACCCCTCCCCAGATCCGCCCCTTCCGCCAGGAGGACTTCCTGCGCAGCCTGGAGCATGCAGGGCCCCAGCTCACCTGCATCCTCAAGGGCGACTGGCTGGGCCTCTACAGGTGGGCACCTGGCACAGGCTGCCCATGGCCACTCTTGGCACACCGGGCCATCCCCTCAGCTGCTGCCACTTGTCACCCATAGGCGGTTTTTCAAGTCACCCCACTTCGATGGCTGGTACCGGCAGCGGCACAAAGAGATGGCCCAGAAGCTGGAGGCCCTTCACCTGGAGGCGATCTGTGAGGCGGTGAGAGAAGCTGGGCCCTGGGGCTTGGGGGCTAGGGACAGAGTAGGAGCTTCTGTGACCAAGGACCTGCACTGTCCCTGCAGAACATTGAGACCTGGATGAAGGATAAGTCAGAGGTGGAGGTGGTGGACCTGGTCCTGAAACTCCGGGAAAAGCTGGTGAGCAGCCTCCCTGGCCTGCCCAGCCCAGCCACTACTGCCTGGCAGGAGGTGTCCTGCTTCTGACTGCCAGTGCCCTTGCAGGTGCGGGCACAGGGCCACCAGCTCCCTGTGAAGGAGGTGACACTGCAGCGAGCACAGCTGTACATCGAGATGGTCATCGGCTCCCTGCCCAAGGACCTGCAGGCTGTCCTGTGCCCTCCCTAGGACGGGCCAAGGTGTGCGGTCCCCGGGCCTGGCCTGCCAAGCCTCCCCCTGTGGGGCCCTCAGCCTAGTGCCCACTCCCGGCTTGGCGCCCTGCCTGGCTGTGGCCCCCTCCTTGTGTTGCCTTTGTCCCAGTAGTAAATATGACATTTGGAACCACAGTCTGGTCCCTGACTGTGGGGGATTATGTGCTAGCAGAGCTCCCCCTCCAGCCCCACCTGCCTCCATGGCTGCAGAGGGCAAGTAGGGGGTTGGAGGGGCGAGAGTCCTGGCTGATTTGGGCACATCTACCGCCCACCCTCCGATTGCCCATCTGCCCGCACCCCACGTGGTGCTTGATGTGTCCTTCAGCCCAGCAGGCTGCTAGGACGGAGGGAGGCAGCTGGCAGGGCCCCTTGCCACCTGCCCATCTTGCCCTGTGGAGACAGGAGGGGCACCTTGCCCACTTCAACCATTGTAGAAGGAGAGGCCACTCTGCTGTACACCCCTGCCTGCCTGGGCTGTTGAGGGGAGAGCAGGAGTGGTGTGGAGGCCCTGCTGGGACAGCAGATTCAGCCTGGCCCTCGGGATCCACAGCATGGTCCTGGCATCTCTCCTGGAACCCCACGCACCCTACTCCTACCTACAGGGCCTGAGGGCTCTATAATTGGCCTGACTCTGCTGCCCAGCTCCTGTAACCCTGGTGCAACTGACCCCCTTGGCAGGCACCTGAGCTGCCACCTCTGGGTCCTATAGTCAGGACTGGGCCCAGCGGGGTAGTGCTGTCACCTCAGGTAGTACAGTGGCCAAGGACGGTGACCCCGGCAGGGCTGTAGAAGGTGTGCACTCAGGGGTGGACCAGAGCTGCTGCTGAAGCCCAGATGAGCATCACTAGCTGGAGTTGCTGAGTGGGTCTCCTGACCTTGCAGACCCTTGGGCTCCTTGTCTAGGTGCCTGGGAGGCTACTGCTGGGCTGTGTGCAGCTGGCTCTGTGCCCTGTGGTGCCTGAAGGGGGCGCTGGTGGAGGAATTTTGGCTAACTGTACATTAGTTAGGCAAGGGTAGACTGGGTCCCACACAGCAGGTGCCGACGGCTGTTCACTCTGTCAGCTCCTTCTCAAAACTTGGTGTATGTCGATGTATCCACCCTGACCACGGTCCAGGACAGCCTGGCACAGATGCGGAACACATGGTGCCAAAGAGGGGAGGTGGACAAGTCAGTCCAGTGCAGCCCCCTGGACATGGCTGCCATTACACAGGAAGGTAGAGGGGGTCGTGGAGACCCAGAGTGAGAAAGGTGGCACAGCACACGGCAGCATCAGGCACAGAGGTGCCAGCCTCCCCACCGAGGGCCTGGTTTCCATGTGGCAGTGGTGTGGCAGTGTTGGCAGCTTCCTGGGTAACAGGATGGTTGCAGGGCACAGGAGAGGCCCTGGCAGGGCCCCCATCAGAACAATGGCTTGGTATGCGCAGCCTGAGGTGGCAGTGCTGGATCTGACCCCCTGGCCCCAATTTGAGGGTCAGGATTGTGACCCCCACCTTGCGGGATACGCCCCCAATGTCCCTGCACCACGTGCTTCCCATGCCTGAGGGCGGCCTTGCTTGGCCGGAAACCTCAGCCACCATCACCCCAGGAGCATCCAACCAGATCTCCTGGGCCTCTAGATTCTGGTGGTCAGTGCTCCTTGAGACCACTGTGAAGGGCTTGTCAGGAGGACACCTGGGGATCACCCAAGACATAGTCCATGCTGAGGCACATAGGACTAGCAGGAGCAGGAGTGCTGTGCTCCTGGTCACTGGGTAGAGTTGAGCCGGGGCCCCCTCCTGGACCTCTGGATCAGGTCAGAAGGAAGGTAGCCCGGCCTGTTTCAGAGAGAGTCTTGGTGCTGCCCCCTCCTCCCCTGGGGCCAAGGGCACAAGGTGGGGATATGAAGAGCAAGATAACTCCAGAGAGGCAAGACACCCACAGAGGCTCCCTTGGGTCCTGGGTGACAGAAACGAGTTGGTCCACACCAGTGAGGGGCTGTTGTGGTTAATGAGGCCCCCAGGGTTAGGCAGAGGCTGGGTCAGGCTGTGAGCCGGGAGGGACAGCGCTTCACCAGTCTATTTCAGGGTGCCCTCAGAGTGAGATCGCGGCTTCCCACGTGTTTGGTATTAAAATATCCTTTTGTGACAAAATGCTTGTTTTTTTAACTTTTCTGATAAAAAGCTTGCAGCCTTATCAGACTGGTAACTTGGGGTCCTCCGTGGTGGGGACTGGCAGAGGTGTGGCCTGGGCTGCGGTGATGCTGGGAAGGAGGGGCTGGAACAGGCCTGGCTGCTGGGGTGGAAGGCAGGCCGCTGCCTCGTGTGCTGGTCTGGCTGCAGGGGCCTTCGAAGTCTGCCGGAGGCTTGAACACCGGCAGCCCCCAGGGTGGAAGCAGAGCAGGAAACGCGGGCCTGGAAGAAGGGCCCGGCAGGCAGAGGCTCGGGTGGAGGGCTCCCACCCTGTCCTGCTATGTCCTTCCAGGAGGGTCGCAGAGAGGTGCCCAGAGCCTTCTCCAGTCCGGCGCCCGGGTGCGGGGCCCCAGGAGGCCAGAAGTGGAGCCTCCGGCGAGGTGCTGTCCCACTGGACTCTAGGCACCGAGGGCTGGGGGTCCCAAGGGTCCAGGGTAAAGCCACAAGCGGGCAAGGACGCATACTAGCCGAGGGCACTACCAGGCGCCCCCTTCCCTGCGAGCTCCCGGTAGAGAGGCGAGGCCGGCACCCCTCGAAGAGACTAGTGCTGGGGGGCTCCCGTTCGGGTGTGGTGCCCAGGCCCGCGGGGCTGGAGACAGCCGTGGGGCCCAGAGAGCGCCGCCAGGCGCAAACTCCAGGGGTCGCAGCGCGCGCCAGTGGCCGCAGGGCACCGGGACGAGGGGGTCGCGGATGGCCTTGCAGAGCCGACCCCACCCTCCCCAGCACCCCCTCTCCCCTCCCCCACCGCCC